ATTCTGGTCACTTCCTCTTTTAAATTTATTTTGTTGAGTAATTTATTTTTAGATTTTTATAGTCATTTATTCACTTTACATCAGTGTTTATTGAATATCTAGCCTATTTTTGCCCTCCTGGAGTTCACAATAAGGTGAGACGGGTACACAAGTGCTAATCTGAATTAGCACTATAAAAATTTTTATGGTAGGAAAAAAAAAAAAAAGAAAAACAAGTATTTCCTCTCTGGGAATGGGGAAGGGAAGACTCAAAAGAGCATTTAAGGTGGCTCTTGAAAGATGGTAGTACTTTGCCAAGCAGAAGGACATCTGGGCCAAACCCTGAAGGTGACAAAATATGTGACTTTAAAAGAAGGAGCCAGGAGAAAGGGCTAGGGACAGTGCCTTTCAGTTGAGTGCAGAGTTACAGTGCTCAGGATGGTGGAGCCAGTTATGAGGGCCCTGAGTGCTGCGCTAAGCAGCTTGGACACTCTAGGCAGTGGAGAAGCGTTCCAGATGATTTCTTCCCCTTCTTTTCAAGTAGTAGTTGCCAGCATTTTTTGCACTTTATTAATGCCATAAAGGAAGCAATTTTCTTGTTTCTCTTTTGAAGGGAAATGACTGTTGTACTTGCTTCAGCACACATACTAAAACTGGAATTATGCAGAGATTAGCCTGCCCCTGTGCAGGGATGAAGTTACTCTTAAGTATAGTGATGAAGTATGTTAATGCTAACTGTACAACTGGATGATTTTCTTTTTTGAGATGGGAGCTCACTACATAGTTTAGATTGGCCTTAAATATCCTATGTAGCCCCCAGAATGGCCTCAAACTTGTAGTGATCTACCTGCCTCAGCTCCCAAATGCGTGCCACCACACCCAGCCAGTCTCTATTTTCAGGATATCTGAGTGAAACTACCCACTCTTTAAGAATCAGTAACCACTGGGCCTGGTTTCTGTCAGCAAGGGCAATGTGTGGTCTGTAACGCACTGAGGACCGTAGTGAGGTGACTTCTTGTCTCTTCAGGAACTTCCTATCAGTGTGCTCCATCCTAAATGCTGGTAGTGTTCGTTTCTTAAGAGAAGCATACATAGGAGTCTGGTAAGAAAGATCAAGCAAAATTACCTTTAGCTTCTTTGAGATGCAAGAAATGAAGCTAGCTTAGAGAAAGAAGGAGCATAAGATTTCAGTTTCTGGACTTTGCCTGAAAAAATCTTTTATGTTTCCCTGTGTATTATAAGAAATCAGTGTGTTGAATTACATATTTCAAGTTTTTATCATATTTCTCGTATAAAATTATAATCTTCCTAGAAAATATATAACCACCTTAACTATACTTTGCCACTCTTTCATATCTTCCCAACCACAGACAGACTTTCCAGATGATCAGTTTTATGAAAGTATTAGTAACTAAACTATGCTGAGCTTCTACACCAAATGCGTCGTATTTGCCCCATACTAGCCGGTCATTGAACTCTTTGGGCAGCCACAGGGCCGTCTTGCAGTTTAGTTCTGACATTACCTCATGGTACCTCCTGTTCCTAACTGGTGGCACACCCAGCAGGTTTTGGTCTCAGTCCCGTCATGTGCCAGCAGCAGGTATCAAGTTCAGGTTGCCTGGTTGCCCACATTTTTCTTGGGCATGACTAGAAAATGAGGTTTCCACAACACCCTTCCTTTCGGAGGCAGTAACTTATTAGATGGTTCACAAAACTCTAGGAAAAACTTTTATTTAACCAGTTATGGGCTGAGAGATAGCCTAAGCGCCTTCCTGCCAAGCACAGGGACCTGGGTTCGATCCCTGGCACCTCATGCTGTGCCAGCCCCGGAATCAGGCATGGTGGGCCATGCCTGTAATCCCATCTCTGGGGAGGCTAAGACAGGAGGATCACTACGGGCCTGAACTGCATAGTGAGACCCTGTACCAAATAAATGAATAACACTATAACCAGTTAATTGTAACAGATGTAAATGAATGTCCAGGTAAAGAAATACATAAGGCGAGGTCCAGAATGGTCCAGAGCATACAGGATTGTCATCTCCACGGAGTTGAGTGCACCATGCTCCCTGCGTGTGGGTGTGTGCACCAGCTCAGCAGCTCTCCAGGTCCTCCCTTCATGGGTTTTTCTAGAGATCTCTTTACGTTGGCCTGGCTGATTAAATCATTGGCCATTGATGACTGAACTCCATCCCTGTTCCTTTCCCCCCCCAGCTAGTGACCCACCTCCATCCGGAAGCCTCCTAGGAGTACTCTCCAAGAATCATATCATTAGTGCACCATAAACACTTATTATACCACAGAAGCTCTAGTTAGTTATACCCTCTGTTAGAAGAACAGAGCCTGAGGTGCACAGATTGTAAGTTCTTGGAAGACCCTGTCTGAAAAACCAAAACAAAGAACAACTGTCATTTATTTTTTATAAATTTTTATAAAGTCAAAAACTTAATGGTAAATTTCCTAAAAATGTTCATTTAAATATAGAGAACCAGGCATGGTAGCCCATGTATGTGATCCCAGCACCTAGGAGGCTGAGGCAGGAGGACTGCGTGAGCTCGAGGCCAGCCTGGGCTATGCAGTGAGTTCAAGGTGAGGCTGAACTGTATAGCAGCACTCTGTCTCCAAAACAGAAGTTAAGAAATAGAGAAGCTTAAATGAGTCATAACTGCTTCATTAACAAGAATTAATGAAAGACATAAATTACTATAATTATAGTTTGATTATATTTTATGTATTAAATACTATATTATTTTCAAAATTAAGTGCACATTAATAAAATATTAAACGTGGAACACCATCTCGTAGAGTAAGTATTTGTGTATACTGCCTACATCTGTTTTTTTTCCTCCCCAGTACTTGAGGATTAAACCCAAGGCATTCATACTATACTGTAGCCTCAGCTGTTTTTTTGTTTTTTTATTTTGAGACAGGGTCTTGCTAAGTTGCTGTGCTTGAACTTTGAATTCTTCTGTCTCAGTCTTCCAGGGTGCCGGGACTACAGACATGCACCATCATACTAGCTCCTACATGTATTCTTTAATACATAAGGGAAAGATTTAATCAATACTTCACTATTTAATGTTGAAATAATTTAAAGATTTAATTTTGAAAATCATTGTAAAGAACATTTGTATTTATTGATTCTAAATCAAGACTGGATATTTACATCCTAATGCAGTAATATACATTAAAAAGCATGATGTCATAGCCAATGTGGTGGCCCACACCTGTAATCCCAGTATTTGGTAGGCTGAGGCAGGAGGATCACCATGAGTTCAAGACCAGTATAGGCTACATAGCGAGTTTGACAAGGCCAGTCTGGATTGCATAGTGAGACATCTCAAAAAGTAAAACAACCCCTCCAATATAAAAGTAAAAAGCATAATATAAGTCAGAATAAAATATTTATGAAGATTTATCAAATGCAGTGTAACAAACTAAGGAGCTTTCCTAAGGTTTTTTAAAAAATAATTTTATTAATTTAAAAAAAATTTTTTTCTAGTACATGTTTGACACAGTGATTACATTCATTGTAGGGAATTGGTACAGGTACGTAACACATCTCAGTTCTTTTTCCCCCTGTGCCCCTTAAAATAACTTTTGTCAGCAACAGATTTCTTAATTTATTTTATAAGACTTTATAAAATTAATTATCATATGTACAGAATAACAGCTAGACTAACAGGCCAAAAAATGTCGGCAATATGTACAATGTGTTATACTAAAGTAAGGTACAGTGTTTCTTGTGTGTTTTTTGGTGCTTCTGTTGTCCTGGTTTGGAGTTTGGAGATAAGGTCTCCCTCCGTAGTCCAGGCTGGCCTCTAGCTCGTGGCAATCCTCTTGCCTCGGCCTCCTGAATCCTAGGTTACAGGCATGTACCACCATGCCTAGGAGGGTACACTGTTAGCTACATCCTTTTTTTTTTTTTAAATTTTAGTATTTGTTACAGGGTCTCACTGCGCAGCTCAGACTCAAAGTGCTCCTCCTGTTTCGGCCTCCCAGGGCTGGGATTACAGGTGTGCACCACCACACCTGGTCTTGGTGGCCAGCCTGGCTTGCCCGCACATAGCAGGGCCAGCACGGCATGTGGTGCCAGGGAGTGAACCCGGGTCCTTGAGCTTGCCTGGGAAGGCGCTTAGACTGCTGAGCTATCCCCGTGGCCTAGACACATTCTGGATGCTGGATTACAGTAACTTTTTTCTTCTTTTTTTTATTGTGTTTTTCACTTTGTAGTTCATTTATATATTGGGTTTCTCAAAAAAGAAAAACCGTGCATTACTTAAGCTTCTGCACCTGATTGACTCCACAAAGGGCTGGCTTGTGGTCTCAAGGCACATCCATTTGTCTGTAGATGCCTCCAGTTTATCCCTCTTTACGGCAGAGTAGTGCTCCCTAGTGTGTAAGCACCCCATTTTGTTTATCTCTTCATCTGTTGTAAAGAAAAGGTCCTTCTCATCTGTTGTAGGCTGCTTACAAGATTTAGCTATTAATGGTCTTGCTATAAACATGAATATGCAAAAAACATGAATATGCACACATCTCTGCGGAATGGCTTTAACTCTTTTTTTCTTCCCAAAGGTTTTGTTTTCATATTGGTTATTGAGGATTTACGTGAAATAGGAAAAACTAGATCACATTATACGTTCAGAAATATTTTTCAGTATGTTCATGCCCTTAAAATATATTAGCTTTTTTTTTTTTTATGGTACTCTTATCTTAGTCTAAAAATATAAGTAATGTCATGTACGTATACTAACTCCCCACAGCTAATGTAGTCATTATATGCTGCAAACATGTACCAATAAAAAATATAAAATATTACAGTTTAAATGTGTTGTGTAGGTTTATTAAAGACAGATATTTACTCAGGATTTAGTAGATTCATATGCTTCTGTGTCATTTAACAAATGTTCAAATTGGAATTTTCCTCAGCCACTTTGAATCTTCTGAGTAGCTTACTATATTTAGGTTGATTGAGATTCCTAAATAATTTCTTTTTTTCTTTTTTTTTTTTTTAAACAGAGATAAAAGCAGCAGTGTTTGATGACTGCAGGAAAGAAGGCGAATGGAAGGTAGACTTTGCCTACTTTGCTCTTATGTTGAGGAGTTCAGTACACTGTTCTTAGGGTATTTCTGTAGAGTGTAGGACCTGGAAGCACGTTGTTTGCCTTCAGATCTAAGTTCACCATTTAGTAGCCGAATCTTCTCTAGCAAGTTTCATGATTTTTTGCTCTACCTCTGTTTCCTCATCTATAAAATAGGGATAGTAATAATAACCCCTATGATAGTTGCAAATATTAAGTGCAACGTGCTTGAACCAGTAATTCTGTGAGAATTTATAAGTTTAAGAAAAATTTGATATTAAGGTATATTTTAAATGGACAACCTCATAAATGTCCAGATCATGTAAAATAAAAGATGAGAGGATATCATTTCACCTACTGTCCTGGTACTTTAATTTCATATTATATAAGATAAATTTGAATAGATTTAAGGGCTAATACTCTGTCTTTTATGTATTCTTGACAGTTGTATATTTATACTGTTTCTTATTTGTATTTAAGATCATGCTTTTAGATGAATTTACTACTAAGCTTTTGGCATCATGTTGCAAAATGACAAATCTTCTAGAAGAAGGAATCACTGGTAAGTGTCACTAATTCTTCTCATGAATACTTTTATAAACCTTCACCCTGAAGGTTTTTAAAATAGTAAGAAGCTGCCATGCATGATGGTACATGCCTGTACTCCCTTCGGTTAGGAAGCTGAGGCAGGAGGGTCATCAAGAGTTCGAGGCAAGGGCCAGGGCGATAGCTCAGCAGCATGCATGGGTACCTGGCAAGTGTAAGCACCTGAATTCGATCCCTAGTACAAAAAAAAAAAAAAAAAAAAAGAGTTCAAAGCCAGCCTGGGTTACATAGTGAGTTCAAAGCCAACCTTAAATAAATAGCAAGACTTTGTCTCAGAACTAAAGCAAAAAATTTAGGTGGGATTACAGGTGTGTCTTAGCCACTTTTCTTGTACTGAGATGCAATAATTGTTGCCTACAACTTAAAGGAGAAGTCACTTATTTTGGCTCATATTTTAGCCTATAGTAGGCTAGCTCAGAGGGCAGAGAGATGGCCCAGGAGGGGGTGTGGCAGTCAGGAAGCAGAGAGAATCAAGGGAGGAAGGAGGGCGGGTGCGATATCTTCAGGGTCACCCTCAGGGACCTGCCTCTTCCGACCACATGCCATCTCCTAACATGGCATCTACCTGTAACTCACCAGCGCACTAATCCACTGAAGAGTATGGCAGCCCGTGACATAGTCACCGTCCTGAGCCCCGCCTTTGATCACTTGAGGCTTTGCAGGGACATGGAGATAGAAACCAGGACAGTTGTATTTGCAAGGTTGTTTTTTTCTTATGGCTCTAGTTATAAGTCTTAGACTTGGCTGGGGAGATAGCCCAGTAGAGTAAGCACTTTCCTGCAAGCACAAGGTCCTGAGTTCAATCCCCAGTACTGCAGAAAAACAAACGAACAAAAAATAAATATAACTCTTAGACTTGACATTCTTCTTTTTTCTCAGGTTACCCTCTGAAAAACTTTTGTAAGTCAGATTTATGCCAAGCTGAGACATATTATTAAGGGTCTCTAGGCAAGACTGAGTCATTTGTTTTGTTGAAGTTCTTCTTTAATTTTTTCTATTACATTTACTGTTAAGAGTTTTGTATATCGATATTGCATTTCCGTGTTTGGGTTGATGTTTGTGGTTCCTTCCTTTTTTTTCTGTGTGTGTGTGTGTGTGTGTGTGTGTGTGTGTGTGTGTGGTTCTGGGGATCCAATCTAGGGCCACTTCTAAGTGTTCTACAGCTTACAGTTAAGCTTCCAGTCATGTGGTTTTCTTGTATTGTTTTTAAATGGATATTAAAATGTTTTAACGTCAATATTTGTACACATTTAAAAATAGATAATGCTGATCTCATAGATTTCTTCATTACCTAGAAGTGAGACAGTTGGTTATAATTTTAGATTAGTTCTAGTATGAAAATAAAGTTCCAAAAAAAATGATAATGCCACAAGACGTTAATTACACTAATGAGGTATTAATCTGTGTCACTTTCTGAGGAAAATGCCTCATTCATAATCACATTATCCTTAATTTCATCATATACTGACTCATTTATTTAAATTTGTTCTCTACAACAACTTTAGAAAGACAGATGTTAAATACCCTTATTTGCACTGAGGAAGCAAATTCAAGAGGAAATATAATTACTGTTTTGGGTTCTAATATATCTATACCCTCTGTCACTCCTAACTTAAGAGGTTCAAAAATACATCCAGCATTCTCTAGAGAGTCTGACCATATGATATTTATAAATAAAATAACCTACTGCATATTCAGTTTGTGATTTTTATAAACTCAGTGGGAAAAAAGACTTAAACTAGAAACTCTTAAATTATTATGAGATATAATTGAAAAATACAGTGAATATCTAAAGTTTAAAATATTTATTACAGGGCTGGGGATATAGCTGAGCAGCATCAGCCCCTGCTTGGCAAGTACAAGGTCCTAAGTTCAATCTCTGGTACCAAAAAAAAAAAAAAAAATCTAAAATATTTATTACAGTAAAAGGTACAGTGCCATTGGCCCTCCTCAAAATACCCCCCACGCTTTGATTACACTTATCCCATTATTATTGCCACTTCCTGAAGCAGTTTTTAAAAATTTGTTAGTTTATTTATTTATTGGATGCAGGGTCTCACTACGCAATTCAAACTCGTCGTGATCCTCCTGTCTCACCCTCCCAGTGCTGGAATTGTAGGTGTGTGCCCCCACATCTGGGGCTAGCATGGCATGCCCAGGGTTCTGGGATTGGCATGGTATACAGTACCGAGGATCGAACCCGGCAGGCACTCAAACTGCCGAGCTATCTCCCCAACCCTGAAGCAGTTTTAGAAGTCCCCTTTCATGAGTCTTTTTATAAGATATGATAAACAATTCAAGGAAGGGAAGTCGGTCTTATTTACTTATTTATTGGTTCTGGTAACTTCTGGCTCTTCCCTAAATTCACAAGTGATCATGAAAGGCAGGCATTTTGAATCAGTTGAGGACACTGAGGGTGCAACCAAAGATACTCACAAAGGAAACCTTCCAAGCTGGGCGTGGTGGTACATGCCTGTGATCCCAACACTGGGGAATCTGGGGCAGGAGGATCACTGTAAGTTCGAGACCAGCATGGGCTACAAAGTGAGCTCAAGGCCAGCCTGAACTGCATAGTGAGACCCTGTCTCAAAAAGAAAAAAAAAAAAAAGTCTTCCATAAACTGCCTGAAATAGTCATATGAACAATGGGATAACTTTGAAGTGGTTATGGAATTATTTTGAGAGGGGTTAAAATAGAAATGTGTCTTTTAATGCAATTTATAAAAATTTACATATCATATTTGTTGATCACAGCTCAGATGAGCGCACTAGTCACTTTCCTGTTGGTAGGACAAGATACCTATACCCACTACGTAAGTGGGCAGGGGTTTATTTTGGCTCATGGTTTTCAGGGGACTTAGTCCGTGGCTGGTTGGCTCCGTGGCAGAATGGCCTGGTTCTGAAAGGGTGTGGCAGAAGACAGCTGCTGAGCACGCAGAGCAGGGAAGAACGAGGGTCATGAGTGCACCCTAAGGCCGCATGGTGGTGCATGTTATGATCCAGCAGCCTGTGGCTGGAGGGTTGCTTAGAGTGCAAGGCCAGCCTGTGCTGCATGGCAGGACCCTGTCTTAAAAAAAAAAGACTTCAACCGTGGAGTTATATGTGGGTTGGAAGCCTGCCTACTGTACTTCCTTGTGTGATTAAGCAAGTTACTAAGCTCCTTTAAACCTCAGCGTCTTTATTTTGGAAATACTCATAGCATTATTATGGTATGATGTGTCATATTTGCTGTTGTTGAATCATTTTGAAAGAATTATATATTTTAATTTTTAATACATTTTTTTGGGTTTCTTCATGGTACAGATTGCTTATCTTGGTAAATTTACCTACCTATGAAATGACTGCTTTTTTTTTTTTTCTCGCCATGAGAATGCAGTTTGACTTAGGCTTTAGCTTCACATTTTTAGTTTTTTTTAATTCATCAAATGAAAACAAAATGTAAACCCAGTATATAGATAAGCCTTCTTGTTATTATACATAGAAAATACAGTAAAATATTTAATGATCTTTTTCAAGTGTATAATATGGAGTTATATAAAATGACTCACCCTCTCTTTCTTTTGTTAGTTGTGGAGAATATTTATAAGAATCGTGAACCTGTCAGGCAAATGAAAGCTCTTTATTTTATTTCTCCAACATCAAAAGTGAGTATTACAGGGCAAAAATGATCAAAGTCTGTTACATGCATGTATGAATGTGCCAAGACAAAACCCACTATTGTGTCTAAGTAATGCATGCTAAGACAAGCAAACAGAGGTAGTTTGAATGTTTAAAAAGTGTTCTTAAGCTGGGATAAAACTAAGTGGTAGAGAGTATGCTTGGCATGTGCAAGCCTCAGAGCTCAGCGCCCCCACAAGCGGATTCTTTGTTTTTCACCATTGCTGTGATGGGTTAATAGAAAATATATAATAAAATACCCTTTATTAGAAAAATATTACCATAAACTAAGGGCCAGCCAAATAGCTCAGCAGATTAAAGCACCTTCTTAGGCAGATGCAGGGACTGGGAATTAGGGTTAAGGAGTTCAATCCCCAGGCCTGCTGTGCTGGTCCCATCCCCAGGGCACACTGGGACAGCGATTGAGACTGGGCATGGTGGCGCACGCCTGTAATCCCAGCACTTGGGAGGCTGTAAATAGGAGGGTCACTGAGTCCGATCTATGCAGTGAGACCCTGTATACCCTGTATACCCTGTCCTAAATACAAAAAGAAAAAAAAAAGAAAAACATTACTGTAAACTGTGTTTAGGAAAGATTTTTTTTCTGGCAGATGATTGTTTTACTTATACTCTTTGCAAAGAGAAGGTATAAGCTAAAGACTTCCTTTTTCTCCCATATATGAAACAGTTCTGTTGTATAAAATGATACTTTATTTTCATAACTTATTATCCATGTAATTCCTACTGACCCATAATTTTTGCTGAGATAGAAATGTAGATAAGCTTGGTGTGGCAGTACATGTTTGGAATCCCAGCTGTTTAGGAGGCTGACATAGAAGCGTCACAAGTTTAAGGCTGGCCTGGGCTATTTAGCAAGCCCTTACTGAAAATAAAAAAATTTAAAAAGCGGCTAGGGATACAGGTCAGTGGTAGAGTACTTTCCCTCCATGCTGGAAGCCCTTGATCCTTTATTTTAGTGATTTTCTTAGTGTACATATATGTGTGTATATGTGCGTATGGATATATATGTGTATGTTTTCATGTTAAAGGAATGTCTTCAGTTTGTAATCTGTCACAGGATTTAACATGTATCTTAAGGCAAATCAAGACCCTAATAAAGCATCAGATTCCTTGCTTATTTATTTTTAAAAATTTGGTATAGGGTCTCACTCCACAGCTTGGACTCATAGTGATCCTCCTGCCTCAGCCTCCCCAATGCTGGAATTACAGGTGTGCACCACCCCACCTGGTTTTGGGGCCAGCAGGGCATGCAGTACCAGGGATTGAACCTGGATCCTTGCACTTGCCAGGAAGGCGCTTAGCCCACCAAGCCATCTCCCCACCTCTGTGAAATCATTTTCTAATACTTTTCTTGCTCACTCGTTCTTATTTAGAATATTAATCTGGAAATCTCAGTTTTATTTAACTTTTAATTCTAGCAATAGTAGGGCAAAACCCCCGAATATTCACTAGTCTCTATGTATTAGCTGCTGTATCAAACAATAGGTTTTCATGGCATTTTATACCTCATTCATGCTGTAATTCCAGGAGAGAAAATTTATGAGTGGAAAAAAGTACAAGGAAAAAGCACCATTCTTCACCTAGAAAATTAACATAAGGATTTTATATATATAATATAAATCTGTGCACATATATTTCACATTTTAGTTATTCTAGCTGTCAGCGCATCTTAGAGCAGAAAGTCCCATACGTTGCCAAATCTATGAGCTGGATACAAGAGTACGTACTCAATAAGGGAGCAGAGGCGCCTGAGAAGGCGTTACCTGAGGTGCCTCACTTATGAAGACGGCCCCCACGTTCTCCTGTCCTGAAGGAGCTGCCTGCGGGTCCTGTGGGCCCTTTAGGGGCTGAGGCTTTGGGGGTCTTCGGAGCACTGTGAAGACACTTGGTGTGACATCTGAATCCTCACAGGCTAGGAGAGCACCTGGAGAACAGCATCCGCGTTCCCAGAGAAGGGTCTATAGCAAGGATTTCAGGAAATGTTTGCTAAAAGAAATCCGTGAACTCCAAAGGAGGGATCAGTCATGTCTCAAAAAGGCCCTAGTGTTTGTTTGCTTTGCTTTGCTTTGCTGGTTTTGCCCTCAGGAAGAGAAGCCTCCTGTGGAGCTGCCTGTGCTTCAGATTCTGCGTCTGAGCCTAAGTTTCAAGTGGGTTGGCGAGGAACGGCCGCCACACAGCAGCGATAGGGCCTGCTGTCAGGGAGGAAGTTGAGTGCCATGAAGAGAACATGCAGCTGTACAGTAGAACTGCTCAAAGGGAGTGCCAGCCTGAGCAGAAAGTAGTACGCGTGAGGAGAGGCTACAGCACACAGGATGATTTCTTTTTTTTTTTTTTTTTTTTTTTGGCAGAATTGGGGATTGAACTCAGGCCCTTGCACCTCCAGGCAAGCGCTTAGTCTACTGAGCTACCTCCCCAGCCCTGATGATTTCTTAATTAATTGAAGGAAAGGCTAATTACCATTTAAATTTGGATTAGTGTCCCAGAAAATCAAAATGGAGTATCTCTTGAAGTAAAGACGAAAAGAAACAAAACCATGGAATCTTAGAGAGAAAGATTAAGGCTTATAAGATAGAGCCATGTGGTCTAACCGAAATACAGTTCTAGGATTTCCAGAAGGAGAAGGAACTCATGGAGGAAGCTCATGATTAAGGTCCCGATCTTTATTTTTGCATCCAGGAGATTCTCTCCAAATGGCTTATTATTCATGTAGGTGATAGAGATATTTTTAAGTAGCTTGGCACTTTTAAAAATTGTTTATAAATTAAACTTCTAGCCAGTAAGGTTTTGTCATTGGAATAAAGTAATTTTCATTATTTCAAAAGCTAGCATATTTCAATTAGTATTATTATAAAAGTGTATTAATATCTAACCTTTTTTAAGTCTGTAGATTGTTTCTTACGAGATTTTGCAAGTAAATCAGAGAACAAATATAAAGCTGCATATATATACTTCACTGACTGTAAGTTTCTTTTTAAAAGTTATTATTTCACTGTTTAAAGTCCTATTACCTCTGAGGCACCTGTTTTTTTCATCATAATGCTGAGTATTAATAATTTTGTATTCATCTTTTGTTGGCTAGAATTAGGTAAGAAAAAATCTAAAAATATAAGATTGTACATATCTTAATTTATGTTATGGTGATAGAAATGAAAGGAAACCTGTCCCAACTAATTTCAGAAGACTTTTGAAATTTTTTCTTATAACTTTTTCTAATATATGCGGTGGGCATTTGGTAGAAAGGGCTAGCCCTTAAGTTCCATGCTAGAGAAAAGAATTATTATTAATCAAATTAATAATTTTTAATAAAAGGAGTTATTTTTAATCAAAGTTTCAGTTGAAGATTTGATTAAAATTAGAGCCTTTTAGAAGGCACTAAAGAAAACAGTTTGGCAAATATTAGAGAAAATCTATCATATTTCTCTCAATGTGCAGTGTGTTCAAATAGCAGCTAAGCCGAAGAATTATGAGGTGTTCAGAGACAATTCTTTTTCGGTTCTGATGCATTGCACACTTATATTTAAAAATAAGATACCATTTATGTAAGTCTTTGTCTCTAATAAAAAACCCCTCATTCTATGTAGTATATTACTTTCCCTGCTTATTTATCTTCTGCTTAAGTCTACACTAAAAAAGGTCATACTGTAAGTATTTGGCATTTAGGAATGTTACACAGAACTTTGTGTTTGTGGAATTGATAGAATATAATGAATATGAAGTCTCTTCTCATATAAGGAATCTTGAGGCTACATCATGTTAAGTGACATTAGGAGTCAATGGTTGAATTCATTGTCAACCTTAACAGTTAATAGCTGATATTCTAGGATAGATCTACCTTTGGTGAAGGAGGACAAAACCCAGGCTCTGTGTTGTAGAACCTACTAGTTTATAGAGTCAAAATTTTTTAATATTAGAAAAGGTTTCATTATTCAGGGAATAATTAACTATTGATATGTGGTAGATTACTTAGTGAAATTTTTAAGAAATTCTGAAAATGCCACAGCTTATTAAATCATGAGTTTGGCTGTGATTTCCTTTCTAACAGTTTCAGTTTGCTAAGTTAGCAGATCTCTAAGGAAGCGACACTTGGATGTGAATGGGGAAAATGAAACGTCTGTTACAGCTATTTTGACTTGAATATTATATCAGTTTATAACCCAAAGAACAGTGTGTATTTATCTCTGACCTCTTAATAAATTACTTTATGAAAGCCAGTAATTATATATTAAAAATGTTCTTGAATGTTGGGCAAGTCACACGGAATTACATACTTTTTTTTTCTCCTCACAGTTTGTCCTGATAGTCTCTTTAACAAAATTAAGACATCTTGTTCCAAGTCAATAAGAAGATGTAAAGAAATAAATATTTCCTTCATCCCACATGAATCTCAGGTACTACTATTATTTTTATTTTTAATTCATAATGATTTTCAAATTTGTTTATGCACTTATTAGTAAAGTGTATACTAGATTGTTCTGTATGTAATTGATAGGTTTTGTATGTAAACCACAAATCAACATTTGCCGTGATGAAGAGAGAGACATAGCAGAATATTGGAATAGAACACGAGCAGTGAGCTTAAATTTCATCTCTGCCACCAAGTCCTGTGTATATCAAATTAGGGCATTACTAGATTGTGAAATGAAGAAATAACAAGTAATCGCTATTATTATAGTATATTGTGTGTTGGATACTTTCTTGGGTGCTTTAAATAAATGTGGCCCTTTAATCCTTACTAGAGCCTTGTAAATAGATCCCCTCTCTCGGTTTAAAGATTGGAAATCAAAGAGATTAAGTAACTTGTCCCAAATCACACAGCTAATGAACTGTTCAGATTTAATATGCTGTATACTCTTATGTTGGAATCTAACAGTTTATAAAATTGAAATAGTTTGGCTTTGAGGCTAATACTTTGGGGATAGAAAAATCCTATATAAGGGATTTATGTTTTTAGCAAAAAAAAAATTCTTTTTTTTTTTTTTTAAATTTT